ATTATTATTATTATTATTATTATTATTATTATTATTATTATTATTATATTTTTCAACTGAAGTAAATTGTTTTGAGTAAATTGTCCGAAAAATGTCAGTTTTAGATCTTCTGGAGATTTTTTTTCATCAGTCCCTCAGCCAGGCCTCTCCAGATCCGTTGCTGTTGTCACGCTAACCATCTAATCAGGAAACGCTTTCCTCCTGGGACACGAGGTGGATCTCATTAGCTGGCGGGGAGGAAGCCAGCAGCTCTCTGGTCTCCAGGGGACACAGCACGAAAACACGGCCTCCTGGAGTCCACTGAGACCCAGCTGCTTAGTCTCACTGTGGACAGAAAGTCCAAATCTGTGGTCACAAACATCTTTATTTTTTTCCCCCACTTAACACAAAAATCGCTTTTCTAGGTGCTGCTCAATCCAAAGTTCATGGTAATTCCAAAAGACAGACACATTTTAGTTACGTTGCCTGAAAATGACAGATAAGCCCCATGTTCTGTGAGCTTTTACACTCTCACAGTTTAGCCTCATAGTGTGTTTAGTCTGTTGTTGTCTTTTGTTGGTCAAGACGGCAATGCTTAACATAGCACACATAACATCCTTTTAGCTTTTTCTAAAAACACATCCTGGCTAGTGGTAATAACTGCTTGTCATCAACTGAGCCAAAAAAGAAAAAAAAAACTTTTTTTATTCTTCTTCCTTTATGAGTTATTCATTTTCTTAATTCCAATTTAAAAGCATTTAAACTTTTTTTCAAGTTTTTTTTTTCTGTCTGTTGTGAGAAGATCATCCTCATTTTAACACAGTGGAGGAGGCACAATGATAACTAAGACGGCCAACTAAGAATTGTCTCACAATTTAGATGTCCAGGTTTCATTGAAAGCGAAAGAGGAGTTTACCAACCAAAACTTCCAGACTATGTATACTGGACAAATTTGGTAAAACAGTTGGCAAAGTAAAACCAAGCAAGCTAAAATTGAATACATTACTTGTGCAGTTTTTCCCTTTTTCCCTTTTTTTCCCTTTACAAACTCAGGGACTTTTCAGTGGCATGAATCAAATCAAATCCATTTGCAAGCCTACTGCACGTTGATGAGAAAAAAATAAAATCCTTTTACACGTAAAATGAGCCTGAAAAGTTAAAGTCCAACTGAAATTGCATAATTGCATCTGTTCAGTAAAAGAGCTGATTGTGAGGAAAGTGGAGCAGTTTGTGTCAAAGTTTGTCTCAAACTCAAAGGATCAAAGTGTCAGGGGATCATTTTAAAGAAAAATGTGACGATAAGTACCGGAAAATTATTCAAACTAAAAATGCTAGTCCACAGTCTGTTCCCGGGTATCGGTTTATCTTTCAGGAACAGTCTGTGACTGAGATGTGTTTAGGCAAGCGCATCAAATACATCAGGGTTTTTTCTTTTTTGTTTAAGAAATAAAACTTCATCAGTTCATTTTGTGTTAAGCTCCAAACATGAACTCCCCTTTTAATTATCTTCAATTGTTAGTCATTAGAGTTATCAGGCAGCTGAATTTGTTTTTCCAGCTCCATTTTCAGAATGAGATTTTAATTGTAAACAATCAATTGCCCAATAAAGTTAACAGTTGTGGTCCTCAATAGATATTATTGTCTGTGTTTGGCAGCAGATGCAGGTCCTCCTTCCACCTCTGCAACAACACCACACAAGACCTGCTCTGGAGCTTGTTGTTAAAGTAATTAGGAGTGAGCCTTTTATTAAACAGGGTCGGCTCCGGAAGACTCATGGGCTTAAGTGACATTTGCAGGTGAATTTTAGTTTAATAGACCAGAGCTGGCAGCTTATGTAGCTGGTGTCATGATGGCGGTTCACTTCCCGGTGGTTCGTGCTGCAGGCTGAGCCACTGTGAGGTGCTTAGTTTAAGTGCCCCGTGTGCCTAACTGTGTGGAAACATCTTATCAGATTGAGGGCAAATGGTGTTAATAATACACAAAACACCAAACTGTCATCGCATAGGAAAGAGCTTATATCCCTTATTAGTATCTCAATAGTGCACGTGTGAGCAAAGACAAAATATTAACCAGCAAAAGTCCCAAAGCAGCATTTCCAAATTCTGGGTTTGAAAAGATTTGATATACGTTGGGATATTTTTGTTTCTTTTGTGTGATTTTAGAAATTAGCCACAGTCCAATGGCTAGCACAGACTTGTGTTTTCTTTAAATATAACAAAAGGAGGCTGTACTGGATGGAAGTTGCATCGAAGTATAATAGAACTTTCACATAACAGATCTACTAAAGACTCAAACGAAACCCTTTTGCAATTGTCAGCCGTTGTCAGATATGTCAGCCGTGTGGACGTGTTCTAAAATATCAGAAACTCCCTCGGTTTGTGCCGACTATGAATAGCTGGTTGGTTTATAATCCAGTGAGCCTGAGAAGACCGGCGTACTCGCTAAACTCTCACGAAATGCCCATCAGGTAGCATCTCAAATTGAGTTATGGCAGCAGTGTCACAGTGGCTGACTCCATCTTATTCTGTATTTAGAAACTATGGCTGACATCAGCAGAACATGGAACTACAGGACTTGGCATCCAGAAAACAGTTCAGTTACTTAAAAATGCATTTTATATTCAGCAACTTACAGTATACTGTAGCAACATTTGCCACCATATAGCGGTGGTTGGCTCAGAGTAGGAGAAGTGTGGCATAATGCATGCGTTTTCAACTTTCCACTGAGAGAAAATCGATGTGCTGCTTTTTTTCCTTTTTTTTTTTTGCTAAAGAAAAATGAATCTTTTGATGCTGTGCCTCTGGTGTGCCGTTCCTCGGTGTATAATATTTTCTGAGATAATCTATTTTATGAAATTCATTTAAGGTTTTATGAGGAGATTTGAAAATGGGACAAACAGAACATACCTTATGGTCTGTGTATCTACAGCAGGCTTTTCGGTCTCAGCAGGCACATTGTTTTGTGGGCCACAGTCTGATAATGGGTGGGAGTTAACACAATGCAGTCCTCAAGGTTTCTGGCAGAAACCCAACTGGAGTTCAACAGCAATCATGACTCATCTTATACTGTCATTTGGAAAGGTGAGTGTATGGATGATACAGTAAATGAATATCCCTAGATTGAATATATTCAATGTCCTTCGGTGAGTGATTAAACTTTGCAAGGCATTTACTACAAAGTAGAGTCTCTCACTTACCAAAACCTCTGTTTGAATTTGAATCACAGCGTTTGTTGGACCTGAAAAGCACGAAGTCTACCTATATTTTGTTTTTTTCCCTCTTACAGTTTGGCTTGGAACTTCCCATTTTTAATTTTCTCCTGTTGAATTTTACATTAACACATTAAACTTGTTAACCTCATGGAAAATCAGCCTTGTTTAAGCAGTGGCGTGATTTATTTAGTTTCTTATACCAGGGTATAAGCCTGCCGACTGCCCTGGATGTTTATCTATTTAAAGTCATGATCAATCATGATAAAATTTAATCTGAAAGAGGAATCAGCCCAACCGTTTTTTGTACACCTCCTCCTGGACAGTGCTGTGTGTTTGAAAATATAATTGTCTCGCAAACATTCCGCTGTGAGTTTGGTGCGTGTGTGTGTTGTAGTCTGAGATTGATTCCTTTTTAAATACTCCACAGCCTTATTAAACAGTTATACACTTCATAAAACCTCTGGAGTCTAAGAAGACACACCCTGTGGAAAAGGAGGAATCCCTTCAGCTCCGAGACCGTCTGCTCCGAAAAGAGGAGTAAAATCAAGATTGAGAGAGGAGCTGCCATTCTGTCTATCTGCAGCACTTTAACCAAAGCACGTCACAGACATTTAATCAAGAGCGGAGTCGGCTTAAAAAAAGGGAACGATATGTCTCCTTTAAGACCACAGAGGAGAGCTGGCCTGTGTTTAAACCTCCACATACAGACTCATTTTCATACATCTCTACACCTGCGCTGTGAGGGGCCATTATTCAGAATGTAAATATCCTCTACTTCCCATTCCACACACCTATATTAGGTCTTCAAGCAGTAGTTGGAAAGAACACGAGAACACACAAGCATTCCTCTCATATTAACACATTCTCATTTAAGAGAGACCCATCAATCACACGCTTGCTTTTAACCCCTCAGGGGGGGGCGATTAAATCATGCACACACATTCAGCCTGATGGATGAATACTAACATTTCATCTTGATTTGCTGAATGATCTCGATGAGCTCCATCTCTGTGGGCATGTAGCCCATGGTCCTCATGCAGTCTGCGATGTCTTTGTAATGGATGAAGCCATCCGCGTCGTAGTCAAATTCCTTAAAGGCCTCTTGCAGCTCTGCCAGACAGAAAAACAAATTAAATTGATTTCAGCAAAGCGTAACGTAAGGTAAAATGTTTTTCCCAAGAGCCACGCGTACGTTAATGTAGAAAAAGTTATAGATTTGAAACTTTCCAGTAAGTTGTTGACTTCAGCAAAGAGAAAAAAAAACTAAACCCTCAAGAACAGCCAGTTCTGCTGTTTCAATTGATTTTTCTTGCTCTGAGTTGCGCGGCAAATACATTTCAAGGTAGTTTGAGACAAAAAACTTTCAATCTTTCATATGAATCAGGAGGAGAAGCAAGCGCAGTCGGGTTGAATATTGATGTGGTGATAAAGCTCTGTATTGACTATAGTAGGCATGTGCTCGCCTTGTGATTACACCATTAACAAGATCTTACCATCAATCTCCCCTGGCATCAGCTCTCTCTCCTGCAGAGCAGAGAAAAGACACAATGTGAACGATTACAAGATGGCATCGCAGGCTGGCAAGTGAAATTAGGATGGCTTAAAAACGGAAACTCTCCCGAGAAATATACAGTGATAATTTTCTCTTTGAATGCCAAATTAGAACAACATGCATATCGTGTCAACAGTTCTGCATGATGACAGTGAACTCTAATGGGATTTCACCCAGCCACATATCGCCCTCATTTGTAAATGAAACAATATCACACACTCCTACACTTGGACACAGACACACACACACACACTGTGTTTGTGGCATCCTTAGAAAAAAATGCAGCATTATCTCCGTCTGTGGGAATCCAAACACACACCCACATGCAAGCACGGCAGTGTGATGCACAAACTTTGCACACTGGGACTGGAGCACAAATGTGTGTTGTCTAATTAATTTATTAAAACATGTTTATGCTGGCCTACTTAGACACCAAAGGCTCCTTGCATTTAGCCATGACTTTCACTATTCTTTTATCTTTGGGGGTAAAATCTCTATATGTCTAGTTTTTTTTTTTTTTTTTTTAATTTAAACGTGAGGCCGGGGAAAAAATATGCACCTTGGTTTTGGGTTGGATTTCTAAATGTCTTAACTTGGATTACTAAGAAACAGAACATTTGAGTTCCAGGTTGAAATTTTGTTATAGAATACATACAAACAATGCAGTAAAAATGTTCTCTTTGGTGTGCGTCATTATTTCCTTCAAAAGGAAATAACACTGAAGAAAATTACCTTTTCAAAGTTTCATATGTGGAAGAAAAGCTATTTACGATAAGCCAATCATTATTACACTCGCAAACATTCATTAAACATAGCTTACCGCTGAACAATGTGTTCAACTCACATTTAAACAAAGGTATAATTTGGGTTAGGGACCTTTGCGCGTTGGAGAAAAGATGAGAAGGTTCATTTTCCAACCGTCACACGGGCCCCTTAATAAAGATTGTAATTAAAGTCTTTGCTAAAGCACCATTTCAACTCCACGGCTCGCTGTTCTGCTGCAGAAGCACCATCCGCAGAACAGACATAAAACATGCCAGCACGCTGGTGTTAGTATGGAGCACTTGAGCCTGCTGTATGGAGATATTACTGCACGCAAAGATTTAACAGGCCTAGGGATATCCATAAGTTCAAAGTAACGAGACGGCCACAAAGGCCTATACAAGCTCCAATTGTTGCAAGCACAAATTTACTGCAGGCTTACTTCTCCTTGCTTTGATGCCATAAAGAAAAAAAACATCAAGGCTAAATATAATTAGGAAAATTGAGATAAAGACACACTAGTTGAGGCTGCAGTCACAAATTAGACCATTGTTACTGATGTTTGACTGGGATATTTTTGTATTGTCTGACTGTGAAAGAGTTTTTTTCCCCATCACATTTATAACAGTTGTTTTCTTTTTTTTTATTGTGCTGTACTTCTTTGAAGTTTTATGTAAAAGGCTAGCAAAAAACCCAAAGAAAGTATGTTCCCTTTGCTATTAATGTACAATCCTCATGCTAAAAAGGCAGAGACGTTGTGTAAAATGTTGCTAGAAAAAGCGCATAACCTTTTTATTGTAAGAACCTAGAACAAGCATCAGACATTGAAGTTATGTTTTTTTTTAATCACATTGCAGCAACATGACTCAAAATGTTGGGATACCGAAGCGAAATATGAGAACACGTTGGAACTAATGAGCTTAGCTGACAACAGGCCGGGGAAAAAAATTAGTATAAATTGTGAAGCAATTTCCAAATCACCCTCAGGCTAACACGGACTTGTTTCTATTATGAAAAGTTGTGAAAATTTGAGAAACCACTCAGAAATGCTGCTTGAAGCTCTGTAATAGAAATTAGAAAAACAGATGGAAACAGCCCAGAAACACCATCGTCTCTGTGCCAAAACTCATCTGGTCAGATTAATGAGAATTGTAAATCCTTCGCCTGAACATAGCGTGCTTTAGTGTCGGTGGGACTGGCGGTCCGACATCACTGTACGGCAAAGAATACACATGTTCCCGTCCAGATGACAGAGCACATTTCAGCGACACAACCCTGAACGGCACACAGCATCTATTACATGTAATGAAGCGTGACCACGGCGGGCTCCTCATCTCTCCCACGTGCTAATTATTTCAACCTAAATGTCAAAGATCTATTTGTCGTGACAGATTTCTCATCTTAACACGCCTCAATGATTTCATATCTTTTTTTTTAATATGTCATAAAAATACCATGTAGATTTATTTTTCCCTATTTAAGTATTGATTTTCTGATGGAAAAGAGAGATCGTGTTGCATGACGGTTACAAAATGCCACTACGGTGTGGAATCTTTGTTTCTGGCACACAAAACAATCAGACTTACAGCTTCAAATGAAAACATGGGATCCCAGAAACACTCAGTCACCTAATGAATCACCGGGGACGCCGTGTTTGACTGCAGTAAACAGTTTTCTAATATTTGATCTTGATTCTTTCATTATGCTCATGCATGTCAGTTAGGGAAAATAACTTGAGTAACTAACGCTGTCATTCTCAAGAGGATGGGTTCCATTATGATGCCTAAAGAAAAGGGTGACATGATCACATCTAAATGCATACATATGCAAATAACCAACCATGCTAGCATGCATTGTTGACTTTACACCTTCATGTAATATTTCTGGCACAGTTGATCTTCTTTTCTCTATGTTAAACGGCCTGGTCTCGGGCTGAGGTTCCTGATTGGCTTGCCTGCTATGTAGAAAACATTTGGAGCATCTCAGGACCGTTGAGGAGTGTGATCTCTAAATCAGACAAGAATGAGCCAGCATTCCTCTCTCAAAGGTCTAACAGCAGTTCTCTTCAGTCCTCAGGTGTTTCTACACTGTCGTTAATACTATATAGCTGCAAACAGTCATGTTCCGGCCTTTTTTAAGAGGTTTTACACATAGTAGGAAAATAGTTTATATGGTTTCTATGTTCTAGTTTAAATACAATTCTGATGATTAATCTGCATTTCAGCAAATAATTTATTTCTGTTTTTGTTGACATATTTGATGTAATAATGTATTTGTTTTGGGGTTTTTTTTAAGCATGATGGCTCAAAGTCAGGAGTAATTACTAAAGGTTGAGCATAGTCTAACTTGAAAGGCATGAACTTCTATTCATGTATTTGGATCTGGATCCGGGTTTTCCTTTTATTTTCATTCATATTCTGAGCGCTCCTCTAAAGATAGTTTCATTCAGTGACACCTTTGATCTTTATATCTTATTCATGTCAATGTATGTTTTGTGCCTTCGTTTCTGCTTAATCTGCTTTTTTTATTCACGTTCCATTCAGTGTGTTCTAGTTCATTAGTCAACTGTTCTAAACGTGTGCTGGAGCTCCAATGCAAAGAGAATTATCAGTTTTTTCTCTTTATCCATGTTGGCGCTCACAGTGGCAAATACATAAATCATACAAGGTCATCTGGCTCAAGTTCACAAAGCATTGGGAGAAGGAAATATGCCCCTGTGGTTTACTCTCACGCTGCTCCGTATGGCAGGCGTTCAAATGATTATTCACTGCGTAATTCTGCCAACACCAATGAAATGCAACACCGAGATGCAATTGCATCAGGGGTTTTTATTCCGTCTCGTATTCCGTACCCATTAGCGGCTCTGATTTATTTAACCCTTCTGCTCTAATGCGATTTTTCTGTTCACTGTTTACCCTCCTCACAGGATCCTTTTTCTCATACGAGGACAACATTTAGATAACAAGGTCAGCAAATTAATTGGATTCTTCTTTTCCATGCAGAGAAGGATCAGACAGAATGTCATGCAGGCTCTCGGTTCATCCTTCGAAATGAGCCCATTAACGGTTAATGCCGTTCTGTCTGCCTTCACACGGCCAATTGAGCAGCCCTCTGCTTTGTTAGCGTGACGCGGGCACACGGACGAGAGCTCCGTTGGTTTCTTAACACAACCGTATCAGGCCATCGTTTTGGAAAACAGCATCTACGTCCCCCAGATGATCAGGCCATTTTCAGACATTCGAATGAACAGAATGATCGTTCTTCGCTGTTTTTCTCTGCATTTGGGAGCTGATAGGAGCTGATGCTGAACCGTGTCGGAGGGCTCATTGTGTCAGCGTGACGGCCGCTGCAGGATAGATGTTTCCTTGTCAACCAAAGCCCGTCTGGATACTTGTAAATTCAGACCAGAGACTGTCATTGTAAAACAAAACACACAGGCCATGACACAACTCCTACATGACACAGGGTAGTGAAAGCATCCCCAGATGCCCAAGGTCAGGCAGAAATAGTGTTCATTATCCATAAATTTCCTTAAAACAATGAAACCGTCCCATCATTAGGAGGCAGTCTGGTCGTGGAACATTATCAAATGTTCCGAGGCACAAAACTCCCCGCTGTATAAAAATTCTCAGATATCTTTCTGAGTAAATCCTTTTTCATTTTATGATGGGAAAATATTCAAAAGCCCGTGGCCCCTCTTTGTAATGAGTTCTCAGCAGGGGTTCACACACTTCCACGCTCAAGTTCTGTTTCAGGTTTCCCGACCCCAGAAACAACAACAAAAGTATCAGGAGAAACTCAATTAAAAATGAATTTCAAACATCCAATAATACTGAAATCTTTAAAAAACACAACAGGGTCTATTTCTGTCACCTTAATCAATTTTTCATGATATAATTATCCCGCCTAAGGGAATATGCTGATACTGTTGGATTATCTAACCGAATCTTGCTCTTGATTTTCATAATTTCTTGACTCAATGAAGGAGATGCTCATTTCGTTATCTTGTTTTTCTGTTTTGATTGTCGGGGCAAAAAACCAGCCAGTGTTGAGGCACAAATCTGTCTGTTTAGTGACTCTGCCAAACTGTTTCCATCTCCATGTTATTGACAGTAACTACATTCATTATTCATTAAGCACATTTTATTAATCTACTCCCATATAGGTATTTGAGTAATAACAAAAGAAAAATAATCCCTTTCAATGTATACATTGCACTGCACAAGATGGTACTTTGCAGAGGACATGGAAACATTGTAGATTGTGTGTTTGAATAAAGAATTCAACATGTCCAATGGGCCTTTGAGATTACGGTCTGTGTAATCAACACACAATATAGAAATAGGCGTGACCATTGTTGTGGTTCATTTCCTGATTTCCTCCCTTCATAATGACCGTTTAGCCTTTTTCGTTGTTTTCTCATTTGCGACGATTCTTTGGTCTTAATTAATCTACACTATTTATAGTTGCACGGATCAAAAGATAGATATAGTCATATTTCTAGTAACTTTCCCCATAACAGTTTTTAATCCACATTTAAATTATGTCATTGATGGATGCTGAGCAAAAAAAAGCAACCCGGTGGGCTCAGGAGATGTTTTGACCTCATGCACTAGGTAAACCATTTACATTCTAGTGACCATGATGTGACCATGATGTTCCATAGTATGGAATCACAAATCTATACATCCCCGCAACCCCATTAGGGAGTAAGTGGTTACGATAATGGATGGATGGATATATATATTTATATTTATAGTAAGACATTTTAGAAATGTCTATTTTCTAGAGAGCAATGGTAATAAAATTGTTATTATCATTTTTCAGATGTACCGATCTTCTTATTTTGGGGCAATGGTTAAGGCCTTAACAAACTACATTGATTTTCTATTGGGAAAATCAGTTTACGTATAGTATGACATTACATGGTGTCAAAACAAATCATCATGAGTCTACATATTCTAAATCATGGCATGTTTACTTAAAATGGCACTGAATCAGACAATGCTTTTAACTGAGTGGGAGAAGATGGATTATATCAGTTGTTGGCTTGCACCCAGTATGCTTTTTCTCCAATATACTCCAGTGCCCTGCAGAAATCTGGGATCACATCAGTTCTGTGCACAGCCAATACTTAACTTGAGCCAAGCAGGGCTCTAATGGAAGTTAGCCCAGTGGCCAGGCAGTAAATCGTTTGTGAAATTATCGAAGTGACTTCCCTGCAAGAGCAAAAAGGATTATTCATTTTTTTTAATATGCTACAAAGTGGAGGGAAAGCAGCATAATCCCAGTTGCTGGTTTGACTGAATTCCCTTCCTACTGAATGCATTCCACTGCAGCAATTACTCAACATGAAAGGAGGAGTTATATTTTGGGATAGGGTTGGCTCACTCCAACAAGCTACGAAGCAGTGGTTATATTTTTATTTGGTATGGCCAAAAATCACCTCAGAAAATGGTTTTTCCTTCCTTTCCTCACTGTGAGTCACCGTGTGAAGCTTTACTTTCTCACCCCTCCACACCATCCTCTTCTGGTCTATGCCCTGTGGAGTTCATACCCGCTTAATCCTGTTTGGTTTCAGGGGATGTGGAGCCTATCAAAGCTTTCATTAGAGTAGAGGCAGGGTACACCTTACAGCTCCCCTGTGGAGATCTCAATGAGCAAAAACAAATGAGCAAAGTTGTTTGAAATGATTAATAATCATATGTCCAATCTACATTTTCACTATTTCACAAAAATGCCTGTTGAAAATGAAAACTAAATGCTTGATGCTAACAAGAATCAAATTTTTGGAAGGAATTTCTGCTTCCATAAAAAAAGAGAAAAACTGTTTATTCCGAAACATTTCAAGCTTTGACTCGTTCTCATCTAAGGAATTCAGTCCTGCATGCTCCATCAAATACCACTCAGCCCGTTGGCATAGGTGCTCTGGTAAAATGTTTGTGACAGAAATTGGATGCCATTTTTCTGGGGTGTTTACTGATGAACTGGCTTGATTTGTGATGCCATCAGAGTGTGCATGAGCTCAACGGCAGGCAAGTCGCGAATGAATAAACATGAGGCAAATACACGTGGAAGTAAAGGTTGCATGCTTGTGTTGGCCTGATGGTCAAAAGCAAACGCTGTCAGCACAAACTGCGACACAAATGCAACATTTGTGCAGTATTTCAGTAGGTATATATATATATATATTTATAAATATACACACACACTATAAACGCATACATGACTCGAAAGCTTTTTCAAAATGTCTAATAATAAAGTGATATGATTGTGATCAATTTATATTAATATGAAATGATAGCTTGCATTTATTGTTTTCCTTATCTATGAATTTAATTGGTTTATAGGTTAGTAATAAACTCTATTTAACCAAATGTTTTCTATGTGCAATAAAAAAGGTGTTTGGAAAACAAAGAATTGTATATTAAAATACAAAGTGCATCCTCTATTCCATCTTCTAAAATCTATAATTTTATGTTGGTTGCTAAAGATGAGAAAAATATGAATGAATAAATTAGTCCTATATCATCGCTACAGTCAAAGGGCTGCAGTGTGGCAACAATCTCTGAAAAAGCAAAACAGCTAACATTTCACAGTGGAGATAGAAATTATTGACCAAATAAAAATCTCTGTTTCCAGTCTCATCCTTATTACACTTATTATTCAGACCCTCCAAGATAAAAAGATATGTATATTTGTATATGTATAGTGTGTGTGCATGTGTATATGGAGTATTAATAATGAAGGATCACAGACTTGTTTTAGAGGCAGCTGATATGTGAGCAGTATTTGTTTGAAATAAGTTTCACCACCAAATTTTTACATGATTCTTATTAGTGTCATTTCATTGCAGCATTGTTTTATTTTTGAAGCATCAGAAGGAACAGCTGTCTGAGTTGACCTGTGATGCTGCCCTGAGGAAATTATCCCCAATAAGCAGAACAACATCATTTTTCTTCATCCCTCCAGTAGTTTCCGCAGTGTCCATATTCTTTCCTGTTGAGCATTTATTGAGAATATAGTTATGCCTCTCTAATCTCAAGACAAAAGTCCTTCAACCTCAAAGACCCTGCGATCATCAGTGGTGGGGAATGCCATTAAAGATATATTAAGGAAGCTTGTTTGCAATCATGAGAGCTATTTGATTGCTGGGATGGCCTTACCGCTGATTACTGAGGCATGGAGAGAAACAAATGTCTCTTTATAAGATATTAAACAGATTATTCAGCCACGTGCTTTACTGAGTTGTGTCATGGGAAAGAGAATACACATTCACATGCATCTGATCTCAAGTGACAAATTGTTCACTGTTAACATATGAATGCAGATTAGAAAAAAGAAAAAATGTATATATATATATATATATATATATATATATATATATATATATATATTCACATATACCATTCAGTGTACACACTATCTGCAGTAAAATGGCCATTTGTGGCCTGAAGCCATATCTAAACTTAATAAGGCTATGGTAATCTTTATTAACATCATGACAGCTTTGAGTGTGTTTGTGTGCAGTGGAATGTTTTTTCTCCCCATCCTTTTTGTGTGTGTGTGTGTTTGTGTGTGCATTGATGTATGCGCATGCTTCAGGGTTTGCCAGGTTTTTTTTTTTTCAGAATACACATTTCATTTCCCAACATGTGCATTCTTAGTTCCCACCATTATTCTGGTATAAAATGAAAAAGTAACAGCTTCCAGCATTCATTACTATTTTGCGAGGTGCCAATGAACAGCAGTCGGTAGCGCGTGTGTGTTTTTCTCTGTCGAACCTCACGAAAGCTGGCTGATATCACACAGCCTTCTCACTTCAGCGTAAACATGTCATTTTGTCGTGTTTGTCGAAGCGATTATTTGATGCTGCTCTGGATGTTGACATGCAATGATGGAAAAAGCAGAGCTGCTCGTGGCTTTCATTGACAGCCCTTTAAATGTGGAACCTTTTTTCACATTCGGCCGTGCTGTCGCGGCCTAAAAACACACGTGTGTGGATGAGTGGCATCGAGCCACTGAACTGACCTGTCCAAAAAGTTTATTCAGGTAGGCAACGTAGGCGGCGGCCACTGCTGAGCTGTTGCTGAGGCTCCTCTTACCCTTCCGACCAGCCTCCTCCTGCTCCTTCCCCTTGGAGGGAGACTGTGATTTCGAGCTGTGAAGCATGCATTTATATGCCATTGTTTAGAGTTGCTATCATCAAACCCAAGCCTAAAATTTCCCCTCCCAGTTAACAAATACGCCGAAGTGCCTCTTAGGAGATATTCCTAAAGAGGCATTATTACGGCCGTCCAGGAAATGACTGTTCAGCTTCACTACCTTCAGCCGACGCTGGATTACACACAGAGAGTAGCAAAAAGGAGACAGGCAGTGTTTCTGAGAGGGACAAATCTTAAGGCTTGTTTTCCACCTTACAAATCATTAGCTGATGCTAATTGGGTGCACAACCCTACACAACCCACTCCCCCTAGTCTTAATCAATGCTGATTTGAAACAGAGAATGATAATAACCAGAATTTCTTGGAGAGGCTAAGCTGAAGGGCCTTGTTTTTGAATTTCCCCATAGCGGGCGAGTTTCCAGCTGCTGCAGCCCTCCCTCCTCGTGGTGACACGCTGGGAGAAAAAAAAGTCTTGATCAATTAAAAGTGAGCTTGATTCCTCGGAACTGCAATAACTATTTTTCTTTTTGTGTTTCATTTCTTCAATACCACAAAAAAAGAAAGTCTGTAATACTGAATTCAGAGGGACTTCCTTTGGCTAGGTAGGATAAAGTGCTGATAAACGACGGTCAAAAAATGTAATAAAATATTTATAGTACCTTTTTAGAGGCTTATACAACCCAAAGACATTGGAAAATAGCAGAATTCTTCCCTGAAAACGTAAACTTAAAGGTGTTCCAGTTAACTGTAGGGATTGGCCCAGATGTTCCAAATGTGTCAGGAGAACATTGGGGAATCTGAGTGTCACTTGCTGAGCTTATAGCACAACTCTAACTTTGACAGGGAAAGTGCATGTTCTCCTTTTTTTTCTGTTCTTTTTTTTTTTTTTGCATGTTCTTCTTACTGTTCTGCTTCACTGACCTGGCAGCAGAAGACGGCCTGCTGTCCGGTCCCCCCTTTGCGCCTTTCAGAGACATTCTGGCTGAAAGACAAACACAAGTGTCAAACTGAATGCGAGGAAGAAACCAAAAACAGTAAATGTTTAATACCAGTTATTTTCCACCAGTAAATGTTTTAACCGCGTGAAAAACAGCTTTTGAATGCGTTATCGCCTTAAATCTGACATGATGTCAAGCGGGAACCGATGCAGCTGAAAAATGAGGGCAGAGTGAAAATGACAACTGTTGCTAAAGTCTGAAAGGTCTTATGAAGCACACTGTAGAAAATATTAGAATAGATTTACTAAGAAACAATCTGCTTTAACTCTTAAAAAAACAAAAAGTTGCACTGTCTGCATAAACTGATATGAAACCTTTCACTATATAGACTTGAATCATACTTCATACATAATTTCTGCATGCTAAATAACCAGAAAAGAACCAATTCAAATGCATTGAACCTGGAGGCACTGACCAGAGGCAGAGGCAGAGACCTTTTATAAAGGTGCCCAGGGTAAGATCATAAATCTCATTGTGATGGCACAGGGACTGGTGTGTCATTGTTTTTCCCTTGTGGCACATAACTGGAGGGTATATAGTTGGTTTCTTCAGTATACAGGCGTATATAACCTTCGATTAATCGATTAAGAGCGGGTGTAGTTTCTAATGTTAACTTCATGGGCTTGCTGGAGAAAGTCAAGAGTAAATTACATTCTAAGTACAAATAATGTGCAAACATATGCGTGCAGCTCAGTATGAGCTGTTAAAGTGTCTGTTTAAACCTAAGTTTTTGTGTCTTTTCTTTCTCCTTTGCTAACTTAATTTGATTGAATTTATTAGTTCAGTTTCATTGTTGTGACTGATTAATCTTTTAATTTCACCAGTCTACGAAAAATATATTCCTAATGACATGTTACAAAAGCATAAAATGATCCTTTAAGGGGTTTAAAGTTAAACAGCTTTGCAAAGACCTATTCTGCCTCCAGTGATTCCTCAATAAAAAATCCCTGGCATGTTGTAGTGACTTTTCATCTGATAGGCTTTCAATTCAGGAATTTATTTCTTTGTGAACATTTAATTGAACTATATGACAGTTTAGCTGCTAGAATTTCACCTATGAACTGTGCATTGAAAAGACTTGTCTTTCCATTCATCAGCTATTTGTCTCCAGACTCCAGAAACCTTGGTCTTTGTCATCCTAATGTTTGGGTGTTAGTACTGATGTAAAAGAACTGAATATTGCTGAAAGCAAAAAGCAAAAAAAAAAAAAAATCTAATTAAAAAAAGTCCAAAGTAGATCCATTGCGTGATGGCAACTGAGCTGTGTCGCTGAAAGAGACTTCTTCAAAATGCTTTACGCATTAATAAACCTTGTTATAATGAGCTGGTGAACTGTCAAGTTTTCATAAAAGTAACATAATTTAGCTGTATCTAAGTATTTCAACATCGTGGGCCAAGATTTGAACTCGTCCACATTGCCTGATTTGTAATTTCTTGGATATACATGACTGGGTTTTGTGTGTGCTTGTTTGTTTTGGAGGTGGGTTGACTGAGAGTGTGCGAGGAGAACTGATATACACAAAACACGTGGGTACTCAGTCAACAGGCTGCAACACAAACAGTGATTTTAATAAAAACAAAGAGTAGCAAGGGTTTAAGGGTCCAGACAGCTGATATAAATAACACAAACATGCAGATGAATAATGGACATGATGGCGTGTGGGAAAAATGTGACGGAGGAAGATGTGAATCATAATCCGGTGTCGGATTTGTGGGCGGAAGGACGATGGGGAGTGAGTTATAGCTGTCTCATTGAGAAGCAGATTAACCTTCTGCTGCGGGCCTCTGAGGGTCTCAACGCCTGAAGACGAGCAGCTGTAGTTGACACTAATGTGCTATAATCACTGAGTGTCCGGCAAGAATCTCATGTGTCACGGCACGGTGCAAAGACCCAGACTCAAACCCAGTGGGAAAAACAGAGACCACCCAGTTCTCCAAACTATTGTTGACCATTCAATGCACCTTTGCTAAGTAAACCCCCTTCCTCGCTCTCAGTGGGTTCGAGCACAACGTGCCACGAATGAAAAGTGAGTGTCTGTCTGTCTTTATCCCGCACTGTCCACGTGTCTCTGATCCAAACTGACCGCAACACGCTTAGAGCATGTTCGGCCGTGCTGTCGTAGTGGAGAGGGGTCCTCAACCGCATAGGCTGTTTGGCATGCTGTGTGCTGTGTGGGGAACGGTAGATTTAGGCTTCTCAAAACATATTCCGTTCTCAGAGGCTTCGCTGAATCTGATGATGCGCCTGCAGCACGCTATAAAAAAGTTGCAAAGGAAAACTTACTTGAATATCTCAAAGTCATTAAATATGGAATGTTTGAGCCGTTATTTCCCCGCATCCTCCCTGCGAACATGTCAGGAGTTTTGTTTTTTAAAATTCGGAGCACACTCTCTGACAGGGGCATGTTGGAAGTGCAGGCAGACAGGTCCGGGACCTGTATCCTCTTCCTCTGCAGCCCGGCCTGTATAATATATGCAGTGTGCTCTGCGCTGTGATTTTAAATTATGCACAGACTTCCCTGAAAAAGATGTTGTCTCTAAAGCCTTAGTGAAGAAGTATACCTGCCTGCATTAATGATTCCATCAAATAGTGGTAAAAATTCATGTGCTTCGCCACAGGCGCTGATCCACTCCTATTTGCCGGCTAATTGTCTGGATGGAACTTGAGTACACAGAGTGAATTTCTTCTGATAAAAATCTTGGATGAAAATAAGCAGTTTCTCTGTATGATGCTCTACCCCTCAAAACAAGTACAATGTGACACCTTTTTTTAAACAGGGTTAACATGAAACTTCTTTTTAGCACTGAAGAGCATGAATTAGTATTTCTGAATGCAGACTGATATTATAGATTTCCACGTTAATCCCTTCCACACACATCTATATCAACTACTGATGAACTGATGATAGTATTTGAATCAGGGCTGTTTTAAGAATTACTGGTATAAAACTTCAGCCCTATAACTGACAAATAACATAGAAAATTCCGTTCAGAAATATGCACATTTGATATTTTAGTCTTCATTTGACAGGTATTATCCTAAAAAAAATTCTGAAATTTTCATCAAATTCTTATTAGAGAGGCTCCTGCTACTTTTGCTCCTCAAAGCCGGTCACCGGTGTTACTTTTATACCAAATCAACCACCTGTTGACACCCCCAGCTCAAAATGATGACTTTTAGCATTTAACATCAGTAAACATAGTACTCACTACAGCCCTTGAACCAGAGTAATGTTTCTGCTGTGCGCCAGAGGTAAGTTGTTCGACTCTCGCCCTCACATGTGAATAAAAAAATCACATCACATAAATGTCTACTTCTGTCCGATCCACTCCCCCAGCACATTCATACTGAACGTCCGTATGAGGCAAAATTCCTGCATTTTCTCCTCTCACTTTCAATTTCACTTTCTTGCTTGCCAGACGAATTGTTCTCATCTCCAATGAGCACAACTCTCTTCAGGGAAAACAAACACACTCACCAGCGCGTTCCTGTTTCACTACACAAGCCACTGAGCAGCGGGCTCCGGCTCTCCTCCCAAAGCACCCAATTTCTGTCAATCATAGAGCCGACACAAGCAATTTTAAGCCCTAATCATGCTAATCGAGGTAATGAAATGGAGGACCAGGTGGACGGGGCAAAAACAAACACAGCTGACTGCGGAGGGGAAATCTGCTGTTGTGTTTGGTGAAAAGCTGCCGAATCGTGCTGCCCGGAGCACCAGGAGTTAAAAGCTGAAACGGAATTCTAAATATATTTTGCATAACCACTGGAGATGAGGGTGCTGAGATTAATTGTATATGTTATACAAACATGACCCACATACAGTCGGCATACGCAGAGACAAAAAGACATCAGGGCCCGCTGCTATCTTTGGATCTATTTTGAAGGAGACATCACTGTTGTCTGCATCCAGATGCATCAAAACACACGCAGTCATAAAGACCACGCTGATCGAGACGAGGCTTACTGGGTGCTGGGTGATACGTAAAGGCTCTTGCTCATTTTATGGTTCGACACGGAATGAATGAATCACAATACACGTGATAGATGCTGACAGTTCCAGATGTTCCTTTGATTTTTACCGGTTTTCAGATGGAAAAGAAGTCTATGCAGCGTCTCATTAGAAAAGGAGAATGAATGGAGAGCCCGTGATAACACGGAAGAGTGTTAAAGCTTTTGTCAAAAATGTTTTTTTCTTTTCTTTTAAGCCGTGATCCCATTTTAGGACTGTTCCAGGCAGAGTGTGCTGAGCGTGCAGCCAGCTCGAGCAAATGTGCCACGTCTCATCGAATTTTTAGGGGGATGTTGTTTATGGGACCCCACTTAGCTCCTCTGCAGCTTCAGAAAGCTCCCACTTTCATCACTGTCCCTTTGTGGCTGCTGCCACAAGTTACCCGTTCAGGCGGAGCCAGTCCAGAACACACATAATGCTGCTGATGATAATAATTAATAATGCCAGGGCAACATAAGTGAAATAATGGCAAAGGGCTCCGCATGCTTTTTATAGCTGACAACGAAGCACATACAGCTGCACTGCAGGGCTAATCATCTCCTTGAACATAATTCTTTAGCACCAAAAGCCTGTGAAAGGAGCGCTCCCTTACTTAAGCTAAAATAAACCTGGAACCAGGCTCCGTCTAATAGTGGCTTTTGCACCAGACAACAATATTCATCATCCTGCAGTCCCCGATGGTTTATACCATGCAAATATAAACCACCTTGCACTACAGCTGTCTTAGCATACTGAGTTCTGACAAGCTCATTTATTGACAATATGAGGGTATTTGGTGCACACTGTGGAAAATAAATGTTCATGAAAGAGCCGGCTGACAAATAGATTAAATTAAAGCTAAAGAGTAACGGTGGTTTAGCATTAAATACATTTTCAAATGAAAATGAAAGAGACTGTAAGAAACATGAAGACTTTGTTTCTGAAAACTTGGTATAGAAGCCCTCCCCTACCAAGCTTTTTTTTACTCATTTCCAAAAAA